ATCCTCTCTCTAAATGTATAAAAGTACTTAAATTAAAAGATCTTGAATATTTTCAGAGAAGTCATAGATGTATTCATTTTGCTTTTTCACCGATCCTGATGCATAAGAATGATATCTTTTGACAAAGTTTCGAAATTAACTTTGCCTTGGAGGGTACTTATGCGGTAGAAGTATTACGGTATAGTTGGGCGGTAATTGATATATTTGATGCAACAGTTCATATCTGGGTAGGTATGTTTGTGTTTTTATGACCCTTATATGTAAATTTTAAAACTTTCATTCATAATTTGTCCTCAACAAAAATTGAAGAAGGAGAAAAAGATGATGACTAACATGTTATATGTTTTTTTGTAGTTGCCTGTAGTTTTCTGTCTACTTTAAATGTCTGATCCTCTCTCTAAATGTATAAAAGTACTTAAATTAAAAGATCTTGAATATTTTCAGAGAAGTCATAGATGTATTCATTTTGCTTTTTTACCGATCCTGATGCATAAGAATGATATCTTTTGACAAAGTTTCGAAATTAACTTTGCCTTGGAGGGTACTTATGCGGTAGAAGTATTACGGTATAGTTGGGCGGTAATTGATATATTTGATGCAACAGTTCATATCTGGGTAGGTATGTTAGTGTTTTTGTGACCCTTATATGTAAGTTTTAAAACTTTCATTCATAATTTGTCCTCTTCCCTCATTAAAAATCAAAAACGCCGTCTTAGGAGGTGAAACAAAGACGCTTCAACTTTGCACCCGTAGTTTCTTCGACAAAATGCACAAAAACGTGTTTTCAGGTACGTTGTTCATCAAAAATAACCTCAAAAATGAATTCTACGCGAAAAATCACGTAAGAATCATGTCTCATGATACGTTAAAAGACCAAGAATATTCGATGTCCTAGTAAAATCGGAAGCGCGACACTCCATGGCCGACCTCTCCCATTGACTCGATCCACCGTGTGGCAGTAACCGCATAGGATAAATTGGACTACATTTTGCAATAAGGAACTATAAATTTTAGCCCGGTTTAAAAACAGCGTATGTGCCATTGGTTTCCCTATGCACAAAAGTGTTTTTTTCAGATGAGCCAGAATTTATAGTCCAAATTGCAAAATTCAGTCCAATTGGACCGCGTTTAGCAGAAAAGAGCCAAGCCACGTCAGCTGTTGCTGAATCTAACTGGACAATTAAGTTATTTGCAAGAGAGCTTCTATGCGGATTTCTTTGAAAATTTAAGGGACTTTGCGTCGCGTCGTACTGTGTAGAAAATTCACTGAAACTTGCACAACCGTTTTCATGTTTATGATTAAATTGCCCAAGCAACAATTGATGCGGCTTGGTTCCTTTCAGCTCAACGCGGTCCAATTAGGGATGATGCGTCCACGAGCCCATCTCCCTGGTGGTAAACAACCTGGCACTCATGTGTGACACTTCTGTTTTATTGTAACTTTAGTACCATTAATATAGTTCACTGCGTGTGTTGGTCTACAAACAGACCACGATGCCACAGTGGAATTATGCAGCACAAATACATAATAATTTTTTTTCATGCTTCGTACTGTGTAGAAAATTCACTGAAATTTGCACAACCGTTGTCATGTTTAGAATTAAATTGACCAAGCAATAATTGATGCGGCTGGGTTCTTTTCAGCTCAACGCGGTCCAATTGGGGATGATGCGTCCACGAGCCCATCTCCTTGGTGGTAAACAACCTAGCTCTCATGTGTGACACTTCTGTTTTATTGTAACTTTAGTACCATTAATATAGTTCACCGCGTGTGGTGGTCTACAAACAGACCACGATGCCACCGTGGAATTATGCAGCACAAATACATAATAATTTTTTTCATGCTTCGTACTGTGTAGAAAATTCACTGAAATTTGCACAACCGTTGTCATGTTTAGAATTAAATTGACCAAGCAATAATTGATGCGGCATGGTTCCTTTCAGCTCAACGCGGTCCAATTAGAGATGATGCGTCCGCGAGCCCATCTCCCTGGTGGTAAAAAACCTGGCACTCATTTGTGACACTTCTGTTTTATTGTATCTTTAGTACCATTAATATAGTTCACTGCGTGTGTTGGTCTACAAATGCCACAGTGGAATTATGCAGCACAAATACACTATCATTTTCACACGTATCATTTCCGTCCACTTACTTCTGCAATGTATTCGTCAAAATCGCACGAATAGAGATGGAATTGGATGTTGTAGAAATTTTCTGCCACAGTTTGTCAAGTTATTTGACGAATTAAACGGAATTCTCACAGGATGTAAAGCCGATGTGACCACCGATTTTTCCGCGCGGCAAATTCGCGAGCGATTTCTTCGCCGCGTCAAAACAGCCCGTTTTGTCGCCTACGTGGTTCCGCTAATAATTTTTTCTCAACAGATGAGCCAGCACGAATTTAGTTGTTGAGGTGAAAACTACGGAGGCGTTCAGCTTTAGTTTATAGTGTGAATTAGGGTGTATTCTTTTCACACAAAAAATGAGGGTGGATAATAAAGGGAGAAAATTGATTATGTTCCGTCAAAATTCCCTTCAACGGAAAATACTGTTGTTGCTTCTCTCATTAGAGAAATTCAGAAAAGGCAGGAAACATTGCAAACCTCGAGGGTACGTTTGGAATTCTCGTTAATCGTCATCTGAATGCAAATGATGCCACCTTTCAAGAGTATTTTTGAATTAGCACAGAATTTTTTTCACAAAACAGGGACTAGGATAATCTTGACTTAGCTTCAGCGGCGCGTCTCCTTCACAAGACTTCCAATTCCAAGGTGTCAATGTTCATTTACACTGACGAGCATTAAATAACGTTATGATGACCGAAATCCACTAATTTTGCGTCGTTAAGTCTGAAGATAACCTCTGTTTCGTTTTTATTTACCCCCCCATTTCACGTGCAACCCCCGTATCATCAAACATCCCCGAAAGATGTTCAGAAAACACCTACGCAAATTTTTGATACCGTCAAGTACTGTGACGCTCCCCTTCATCTTGGAGTTTCCTAATTTATTTAACCTTTAACATAGTCCCCCAACTCCCTCTCCCTAACTCATTTTGGGGGAGTTGAGGGATGGTGATTCGATAAGAAACCTCTAAACATTATGAATCGAACACTCTTTTTCGGAATTTTTGGCATTAACTGCCAAGAATTGACTATGATGTGAATTTTTTTAATTCAATACCCCCTTCACCCCCTGCCATCGTCCAATTTCCCTTTTCCTTGAGTTTAGAGGTGCTGTTAACTCCTAACCGGAACGCTGCAAACCAGTGCACCTTTACAACTGCCTGTGTTTCTGGGCCTTAAATAATTAGCAGTTAAAGTGAGGATTTTATCCCTTACGTGCGCGGAAAAATAGCACTGGAAAAATTTTAAACATAGAGTGAGTGCACTGGGAAAAAAAAAAAAAAAACACATTGGATCTAGAGTCCAGACTCTTGAAAACGTTGACAAGAAAAAGCACTCTTGATTCAATCTGATTTAAGCTTAAATCAAAAGGAAATCCGCTTAAATTAAGAGGCTTGGTTCTTGATTTAAGCTTAAATCTGATTGAATCAAGAGAAATTATTTTGTCGAGGTTTTTAAGAGTCTGGACGCTAGATCCAATGTGTTTTTTTTTCCAGCGTGATTAAGATAAGCTGTGGGTTCCAAAAGTGTGCTGCAGCACTTCTCGTAATCGTAAGAGCTTTACTGCGTGGTTAACGGTGAATTGTGGTCGATGCATTTCGCTATACCGATGACAGCCTGCATGATGTAGCTTTTCTAATTAATTTACCCCATCCCCCCCCCACGGTTAAGCTTGCTTACTTATGAATTGTGCATGCAGTAACACTTCAAGCTTGACGAAACATCTGCATAGTGCGCATAACTTAACCACTCTAAACGTAGAACCGAACATTTCAAAGGCAGGACCATCACATTCAACTTCGGTGAGTGTGAATTATGCATCAGGAGGTCCTTGGTTCGAATTCACGTCAGGCGTTGTTTGATGTTCATATGGCAAGAGTCTACGAGGATTTGGATTTGATAATAGCCCTGAGGTTAATTAAAATGATGTTCTGCGGGTCTCGGTGGCTCACCGACCATCGATGGCACCAACCGCGTTCGCAAGCCGGCCTCGGTGGCAGCCTCTAATTCAAGCTTGATCCTTTTATCAACCTTTTATATATTATTTCATTATTGTACTCGCGAATCAAGTCTGTCCAGAATAGAATTTCAAGAGAAATGGAGGTGTCTTTAATTTGAGAGTGACCGCACTACAGCACCTCCATCACGAAACAGAACGGACAGCTTAAAGTGAGAAAAATAATTTCAACCTAGAAATGTTTTTATTAAGGCTATTCTGGTATTATTTTTTTCCAAACTAAGAAGCTGCGGCCCTTGGTCGCTATGCGGACCAGCCCCCATCCCCGAGTTGCTTCACGCTTCCTCTGCGCAGGTTTTTTATAGTGAAGGTGTTTGTATCTTGGTCGTGAAACGGAATAATTATTTTGACACTATTGAGAAAGTCAATAGTGGTGATAATTTACAATTAGAAAGAAGACAAGTTTATAAAGAGTGCTCCACGGAGAACACTATTCTTAGAATCAATGAGGTAGTGGATCAAAGGGAGAGTCAAAAGAAAGGAAGAAAAAAACCTAGCTGAACCTCCAAGGAAAAGGAAAGGGTCAAGGAACTGAACGTAATTTTCACCTACCCGGCCCATTGGTAGGACTTACCGAATTAGGAAGGCCCTGGAACTATATCCCCGTCCTAATGTAAAAAAAAAAATAATGGAAATTGTTTTAACATTAAATAAATAAAAAAAATGAAAATAGCAGGTTAAGGAAAAGGAAGGCAAGGAAAGGCAGGACAACATAAGTGAGGACATTAATGAATTTATATTCCTTTCTTTACATGATAAACCCACCTCTTCAGATGGAAGCACAGGAGGAATAATTTGAATTCAGTAATTAGATCTACTAATTATGTGGAGCACGGAGGAATAATTAACAAAAAGTGTTTTTTCATTAATTCAAAAACCCTTTATGAATCCAATTGCGAGAGAACATTTTAAAAAGCTACAACAGCGTGTCTTTTTTTTACAACAATGATATTTCAAAGGCTGCTTGTAGAAGCATAAAAATAAAATTAACAACATCACTCTCAGATCATTAACAAAAGGAACATAATACATGAGCCGCACAAAAAATAACTTTTGCCTTATCTAGTTCCGATAGGAGCTAGTTACGAAACTTGAACCTTTGGAAAAGAGTAAAACACCCGGAAATCCTTAAACACAGGAAACAATTAACTACATACACAAACTTAAAATAGCAATCGGGGTGAAATGGGTCACCCTTTTTAATAATCAGGCTATTGGATACCAAATTGCATGAAGCTTTGGTATATCAAAAAAAATTCATATTGTATGCATTGAGACTCGAAGACCAAATACAGATAAATATTGCACCGCTATGTTGCTTATCGGTGTACCTATAATACTTTTAATCTAAGGAACCAAAAATTATATGTAACAATGATTATCGCCCTTGAGGACAGCAAACTTGTCATGAATTTTACCAATTTCTTCGCAACTTTTAAGATAATAGAGGGACATGACACACAACATCAATTGTGATCATGTGGGCAACAATTTCTCAACAGATTTTGCTTATGGGTGGCAAACGTTTCATTATTTAAGTTTATAATTTAAGTTAAGTTATTACAAAAAAATAAAATAAAATAAAATGAATTTTAAAAAAACACACACTACGTGTAATCACTGGCGGATTGGATAATATCAGTTAGGTACATTATCTGTCAAGTTAAGAATTTGAAAAGTTGAATTAAAGCAAGATTCTAACTGCTACTGCATTTGAATGTCAGTCTCAAATCGGATTTGGATTCGTGGGAGTAAAAATATTGTGTAAAAATGCTAACTAAAGGAATTACGTCTATTCGAATAGACGATAAATTTTCACCTGCTATATTGAGAACCAAGGAGATCATAAAAATACAGCTTAAGTTAGGAGATATTGACAAGTGTAAAATAAACACAGAGATCACCAAATAGTTCTCAGTACCTCTAGTTTTCATGAACAAACTAAACATTTGTTCAGTAAAAACATTCAAACAACTCTTCAAACTAAATGCTTCGTACCTGTAAGTACAGATGCTTGATACTATGTTTCGATGACATATATTTAAAAAAAAAAAAAAAAAAAAAAAAAAAAAAAAACCGAAATCGAAGTTAACCTTTACATTTCCTTCGCTTGCTGAATGAAAATAATTGGCTGTTCGAGATAACCTTGCTAACAGTTATTGAAAAGGGACTAATCACGTGAGTCAACTTGGAAAAATATGACTAGAACTGCAACATGATAAAATTACTCTTTCTTTTCATGAGTATTTTCCTCTTCTTCTTCTTCTTCATCTGCGTCTAAAATATCTGAGCAACATACGGAATACAAAATGAGCAACAAAAATCCTAAGGGAAGGCCGAAAAGTACAGCAGTTAATACTGGATTTCCTCTCCACATTTCTCTGAAAGCTGTTCTGCCTTCAAAATAACCTCTATAGAGCCGGACTAGGAATGTGTCTCCTCCATAAGCAGGAGCCATTTGATTTTCTATAGACTCCAGAAAGAGAGTGATCGCTTCTGGAGTTAAATGCTGGGGCTCATCCTGCGGAATGTGGTGATGGTTGGTAGAAGCATTGACTACAATTAGATGCGGCAATTGCAGTTCCATCATGGCTATAGAATTCGCTAAATCGGGACTCCCTGTCCACCCAAACTGAAATCGTCTGTGAAACCTGTCCCGATTATTATGAATAATTGACTCTACCATATCCCGAAATTCCACCATTTCAGGAGGAATTTCTTCTAATTTGTTTTCATGAATTACAGCGATGACTAGAAATTTATCAATTTGCATCAGCTGATGAAAATTACCGCGGGTAACTTTAACAAAGGTGGCAAACCTTTCGTGATTGACCCAATTCGATAGAGTCTCGTTCAAATCTTCATTTTCCGACCAATCGTTGAAAATATACGGCGTTTTCTCTTTATGGACTAGTATCACAGGATTTGATCGTGCCTCGAAGAGATTTTCTGCTATTTCAAGCGAAGTGGAATAGAAGAAACTATGAGGTTGGAATCTTTCGGCTGTGCTGTAAAACAACTCAAACAAGGATGATTCAGGGCTGCCAGCATACAGGAAGAAAATGTTTTCGGAGGATCTGAGAGCTTCTAAACTCTCGGGACGGGTAATTTGCTTGACAGGTGGACCTTGCACTCGGTGGGCAAAATTTATGATTTCATCTTTCGTTCTATCTCCATTGAACACGAACTGTTTAGCATCTCCTTTCAGAAACATAATGGTAGGAAATCCTGCGATACCGAATTCATAAGCAATTTTTGTAAACCGAGAACAATCGATTTTCCCTACTCGAATATTAGTGTAATGAAGACCTTGCGCAACGTGGGACCAAACAGGATCCAATCGTTTACAATGAGCGCAGTTAGGCGAATAAAACATGATTAACCAGTCTGCGTCCTTCCTTACATCTAGGAATCTATCGCTCAGTTCGATAACTCGAGAGGAGCGACACTTTAAAATTAGACTTAAAACTAAAAGTAAAAAAGACAAATAAAAAGCTTTCAGATTCATAATTAAAGGGAGTTAAGAGAGTACAATAGAATTATCTCCGCGGTGTGGTTTGAAAATAATGGCTAGATGTAAACTTGATACCCGACCAATTCTTTACGGAGATTTACGTCATAGGTAAACATTACTTCGAGAAATAATGAGATTCAATTCACTATTCCTGACAGCGTGTCCCAGAGAGACCTCCACAGAGCTTGATCCCCGAACTCTTTGAAGTTAATGACTAGAGTAGTTACCTTCATTCCTGATGGTACCTTGACATGAGGCAACATCAAATTTCACATTGGTTTTAACGGGTTCACTGGAACTTGGTGAAGAGCCGAGCCCACCGCGGGCGTTGTCATCTTGGTATCTGTAATTAGAAAAACCGATTCTGCATGATACACTGGGTTGAATCAAAGCAAGTGTCAAAAGTTTCACGGCTAGTTGAAGCTCCTCCCTGCCCTGGAAAAAATAGTCGTGTCAGAGCAGAGGAAAGGAAAGGAGAAAAGCCGACTTGAAAGACATTCAGAAAGAGAAGCAGAATAGAGGATGAAGTTCTCCACGCGATGCTGAAGATCGGAATGGAAATGTTCTTATCAACTTTCCATTAAAGTTTCTACTATGGTTTCGTTGCAAACTGCAGGTAGAGAATAACCAAGTGATAATTCCTTTGGCATATGATTCAATAAGAACGATGAGCGCATTGGCGAAAACTGAAAACCGACCCTTGCCTCAAAATCTGTGTCGTTAATTGGCGTATTTTTGAGCTTCCCACCTCAGATAGTTTACTAACAACACAGACACCATTTTAAATAGGTGAGTCACGCTAGTCTTGCGATTGCACAAAAATTAAAACGGCCGTCATCTTGTCGTGAAATTCCTCAATTAACTCTTGGATGTCCAAGCCAGGCCAAATTGATCCGAGGTTTGATAAAAACGCGTGCCCCACTGGTTAAATGGGACCACCGGTGCATAAGAGTTTTGGAAACAGGTCTACAAATACATCCTAAAAAAAACGTCAGGGTGAAATTGAGAAAAAAAAAAGGGGGGGGGGAGACGAGTGTTAACACAGCCGAAGATAGGAGGGACGTATTCGGGCCTCGTTTTTTAACTTCTCTCCCGAATCTGGGTAACATCCCATTGGCAGCAATGCAGCCTCGAGCGTAACATCGCGAGTTCACGCCTGGCGCCATCGCGCCTTCAATTTTGCAGATGCAATACGGACATCCATCAAGCACGAATAGTTGTATCTCTGCGCCGTCATCAACGATCGTTCTTTTCTTTGCTCTATCACCATACTGACAGAGTTTGTTTCCGTTTTATACGGAGAGCCAGCACCAAATTATCTGATTCGAGAGTGTAAAATTTTGACATACATTTTTACATCGGGGTATTCAAGTGTAGCAAGGATCAGGTAATTTGACTGGTCACAGCCGATGGGCTCAAAATTTGAGACCCATCAAATTTCCGAAAACTCGCGTAACTTTTAAACACTAAGTGCCATGGTTCATTTTAGTCCCTTTTTGTAGGGGTGACTTCCTGGATTATATTTCACCTTGCCAGACTGTCGAATTCCGACGGGAAAGGGTGACCAGACCGCCCGGAGGTTCCGAAAAATTGAGTAAAATTTAACCCGAAATTAACATGGGAAATGATGAAGACCATTCAACCATTTCTTAGGGGTCTGTTTTTAGTCTAGAATCGTCAGTTTTCACAACCCTAATATTTTCGGTGTCTGTTTCTCCACGATCTTTGAAAGTAGCCCACTCTGAGGATGCCCTCATACGGTTTGCCCTGTCATCCGTTGATGACGTGTGTCTTTGATTACCATCAAACTATTCGCGATTGATTTCCTCGTTGCTTTACATTTAGTGTGACCGCTCTTAATCGTTGTCAATAAATTGTCGATTGCATTGATTTTTATCGTGAAATCAACTCTGTTGTTACCATTCAACATACAATTATTTGGTTCAACGGCTAAATTTATGCGTTTTCTAAAACATTTTCGGGGCACTGTTTTCTTCGATCGGCTCAGCGGGCCGATTACTGAAAGTTCAAAGCAGCCCGATAATACATCGAAATGCGATATATCGCATGCTCAAGATAGGGCTATGTATTGTCTTGTCGTGCTGACATAGTTTCAATAAGCGGCTTGCTGGCAAGTTTAGACAGGAATACTTGAAGTGATTTCGTTACCGTTTTCTACGTGTACTCATTAGGGGTTTTCTTTTTTTGATCGGTGAAACCACCGGTGGTATTCCACCGGTCGCCATTTTGGTGCGCAATCGACCGCGATCAGTCGAGAGTTTAAGGTTTATCTACAGCTGCGTGAAGTAAGAAATTTCTCCGCGCAGAGGGCGCCACCGCTGTGTTTTAGAGTCCGTACAGCTCCACGTGAGTCCTTGAGCTTTTATAAAAGTTGAAGGAATTTCTGTTTAAATCGAAGAGTTATAAGTTCTAGCCATAACATTCTTCTTCCTATTGACCCTAAAAACAACGTGAAAAGTAATTTCTGAAGCTCTGCAATTTGATCCCAGAAAAAAGTAGGGTTAAGCATGATGACCTTGATGCAACCAATCGCGCTTGATCGCTCTCAGCAGTTGGCAGATATCTCTCTCCCACCGTGAGCTGTCTCTCTCGCACTTACAGATATCCCGTAAGAGACACTGGGATCAATTTACAGCTTTTATTATTAGACTTTCAAAGCTCGCGTTTGTTTCTAAGGATTCGAGACGTATGCTGCTAGAACTTATGAGTCTTAGAATTTAAGATACCTATTGTGATATTTAAATAATCACTGATTTCGGAGTCGGATTTTAGCAGCGCGACGTGGTGGATTTTTTCGGAACTACAGCTGAAGATTAACCTTAAGAACGCACTTCCCACCAATGTAAACAACATTTCTAACCTCATCTATTCGGTGTGCTGTGGC